GGCAGAGGCAGGAGGATGGTGAGTTTAAGGCCAGCCTGGGTATGTGGCAAGACCCTGTCCCAAATCATAAAAAATATTATTTCATTATTATTATTATTATAGTCCAGTACAGCTCAGCTGTGAAGAAGCGAGAAGGCAGACACAGGCAGCCCTAGACGATACTGAGCCTGCAGGGCTGGACCTACACAGCTGTGGTTCTGCAAGGTGTGCGCCTCAGCACTGAAGGGCCCTTCTTCCTGCTTAATGGGAGATCAGCAGGAAGAAATGTCTCTTTTGCTCCACAGATAACAGGCGCCTTTTGGGATGCCAGAAAGGGATAAATACAGGGAATTGTCCTGGGAGCCTACAGATTTATTTAACCTTGTGGTTAATAAAAATCCAGACCAAAAAATATTTAATTGCAAAAGGTAGATTGCCAAGCTAAGTTTCTGCTAGAACATATACAAGGTAAGACAAACGATGGGAATAAAAACCTAACTCAATTCAAATGAGTGCAGTGGCTACACACACTCCATAAAGTGACAGCAGTGACATCTGAACTAGAATACAGCAGCGGGTCAGACCTTGGTGTCATTTACTTGTATGGTTAGTCCCCCATGTTTTCACAGTACCAAACCACATTAGGTCAGTAGCAGTGCAAAGGTTGCTAGGAACTGTAATTGATTTGCTCTTAGATTATTCGAACTTTTCCCCCAAAATTGCATTTATAATAATAAAAACTGAAAGTGGGGGAGAGTTGTCACTATTTCAAAAATGTAACTTAAAAATCTATTTTTATTTTCCCATTTAAAAAAAAAGAAGACTGGGGTGCAGGTGTGGCTCAAGCATAAGAGCCCCTGCCCAGCAAGCTCCGAGGCCCAGCCCTGCCAAAAATAAAAAAGACTCATGTGAAAACAGTTTATTTTTTTCTCATTCAGACTTTTGTGGTTTATTTTTTACAAAATAGAAGACAAAATTTGGTTCTTTTATTAATACAGAATATGTAATACATGTTGAAATATATATATCTAGCACTTGTTATAAACACACAGCAAATTCAGCATCACTTAAACGGCCACCATGTTTTTCACATAGCTAGGATTTACCAGAGGAGAAACAGTTTTCAGCTTAGGGCAGGGGGTGTAGCTCAAGTGACAGACCACTTGCCTAGCAAGCACAAGGCCCTGGGTTCAATCCCCAGTACCCCAAAACAAGAAACACTGTTTTCAGCTTGAATATATAAATAATCTTTGCTGCTTTATGTCAACCAGGATTTACAAAAGCCAGTCTAAAAACTACCACCAGCTACAAAAGTGAGGAGCTCCAATACAGTTTTGCTCTCATGCCATAACAAGGACTTAAAAATACAGAAAGCCATAGGGAACCGATCACTTCAGCACAACTGAGTAGGTCTGCTTAGTTAGGGTTTGAAGACGATGCCAGGGGAATCCAAAAGAGAGGCTTTTGCATCTTCAGTTTTCAGACTTTTCATGGTCCATCCATCCCAAAATCTAGATGAATTATGCTGGCTCATCACCTAACTGTGATAGAGAGAAGTTGCATAGGGATCATTTTCATCTCTGAAAAGAAGAAACAGAACCTAAGCCAACATTTAAAACTGTATGCAAAATAAGACATGTACATATTATACACTTTAAAACTCACTTTGCAAAGAAGGGCAGGAGTGCATCAACTCAGAATGTTGTGCACGCCTTGGAAGTTGTATAAAAGGCAAATACTTATTCAGCTGTGCCTTACTGTCTCCATCTTATTGGTGTCTCCATTATTGAAATAAAAAATGGTATTTGTTTAGAGCTGGGCATGGTGGCTCATGCCTGTAATCCCAGCATTTGGGAGGCTGAGGCAGAAGAATCTAACTTTGAGGCCTACCTCAGCTTATAGTGAGAACCTGTCTCAAAAAATAAAATAAAATAAAATAAAAGGTATCTGTACTAAATTTAAAAAAGAAAAAAATGATCAAAAAAGGTATTTGTTTATATAGTATTTGAGTATATTACATTAAAGTTGTACTAAATTATATTTATATTTTCTATATTCTTTCTCTTTCTCAAACGGATCTGATATATCTACACCAAAGGGGAAACATACAAAAAAGATGAATAAAACAGAAAAATCAGGAATAGGGAAACGAGGAGAAACAATAAACTAATCATAAGAAATATTATAGTGTCTGCACCCAAGCATCAACTTTAGTTGTGGGCTTCCCAGTAGCCAGGGAGAAAAAGGAAACACAATAGGTTGTGCCTTCTTGGAATCACAGAGGAAACCAACTCTATAGGAGAGAGAAAGGTTCACCCTAGTGCCAAATTAAAAATTTAAAAACCTGAGACCCTACCTGAAAAATAACCAACACAAAAAGGGCTGGGGGCATGGCTCAAGTGGTACAGCACCTGCCTACCAAGCATGAGGCCTTGAGTTCAAAAGTACCACACATAAAAAAAAAAATCTTAGATAGGAGTAAAGATTTGGTAACAAAAAATGGAGCGTGTCTTTAACAAATTTTGTAAGGGTCAGTATTTTACAAGTCTAGGGCACTGCTTCTGTTGAAGGTGTCAACGAGACCTTCAGTTTGGCTGCTATCCAGAATTGCAAGCTGGACAGTGCTGGTACTAAAACAAGCAAGCCAGGTTTTTATAGCAGTCAGCAGGGGCAAAGGCCGTGCGCAGCAGCAGTGGCAGCTCTGTTTGACAATAGTTTGCAAAGCAAGGACCTCTTAAGAGTAACCAGTTAGACCCCTGCCTCCGCAGGGGTCCTCACCTGCTCTCTTCCTTCAGCTTCCTGGTGGCCTGTGTGGACAGCTCAATCCGCAAGTCCAGTCTCTGCAGGAAGTCTCTGGCCGATACTTCTTCCACCTGCTGTGCGGGCTGCATGTCCTGAGGACTGAGCGGGGACTGCTCTTCCCCGGCCACCGCAGGCTCCTCCCCCTGAAAAAAGCTGCTCTCCAGAGTTTCATTTTGTGGAGAGTCAACAGAGTCAAGTCCATTAAATGGCAAAGGCTTCTCTGATACCACGGGGATGTTCAGGGTTTTCTTCAGGAATATGCAGTCGTTGGTGAACAGCTTATTTGCCCTTTTAATCTGTTCCATCTGAAATACAAAAGGGAAACACAGTTTCATAGAGCAGAGTCCAGGAGGAGGGCTGTTGTACAACACAGAACTACAAACATTTGTGAGCAATGTTTTCCCTGGACTCAAGAGTCTTCATTCAGATTTTGTCACCGCTACCAACACTTCCCGTTATTTGAAGAGCTGTCATGAAGTTCTGTTTTCCAATTTAAAAAAAATGAAACACTCATTTCCCTCACTGTATTATTTCCTCTACAAGGCAGTGTTTCATCGATGACCCCAAATCTCTCAACCTGAAAACATAGAACTTTGAGGCCAGGTGCATGGATCACATCTGTAATCCCAGCTATTCAGGAAGCAGCCATCAGGAGGATTAAGGATCAAAGTCAGCCCTGGCAAAAAGTAGGTGAGACCCACCCCCCATGTCAACAAAACAAGCTTGGAATGGTGATACACAGCTGTAATCCCAGTTATGTAGGAGAATAGAGGTCCAAGGCCAGCCCTAGGCAAAATTTTAAGACCTGATCTGAAAAATAACTGAAGCAAAAAAGAGCTGGAGATATGGCACAATGGTAGAGTGCCGGCCCTAAATTCAAACCCCAGTACTGCCAAAAATACCCCAGAGAACTTTCAACACTTAATAAATTCCATTCTTAATTGCTGTTACCTGAATTTTTACCAAGTCTTTTTATTGTTGCTACTTTCCTTGTGGAGGGCTTCCTTTGTTTCTAGAATGCACCTGGTGAATGAACAGATACAGGAGGTCCCACAGGCATAAATACATGCAGAATTTGGAAGAATGCTGTGACTAGGACTCCCATTATTTAGAAAGCCCTCACAGGGAAGGTGGGGTTCTGATTGTGGTGCTTTTGACTTCAAATAGAACTTGAGGAATAAGGAGATACACGCGACAAGTCAGGGAAAGATGCGGGAGCACTTTCCATTCAAGGTCTCGCTCTTTTGTCCTGTAGAGTGAGTATGTGAAGACTCACTTTTCACATTAAAGAACCAAGGCTCACAGAGATTTTGTAGCTTGGAGTCATCACACAAGCAGCATAAGACGGGCTAGAATTTAAAAGAGGTATTCATAACCTCCGACTCCCCCACAGCCTCCAGATGCCTCCCCAGCCGGAGGTGGGAAAGGGGGGTGGGAAGGGAGGATGCAAGTTGCATAGATTATCTCACTTAACCTTCACAGCAGTTCTGCAACCGAGCTACTACCATCTCCTCTCTACAAACGAGGAAATGGGGACTCACGAGCGTGAAGTGGCCTAAGTCCACTATGGTGGCAGGCACAGACGGGATTCAGACTACACTGGCCCCATACTTATGTTCATCACACCTGCTTATGACGGGTCTGCGCCCAAGCATGCCAGGCACTGTAGCAGCTCATTTGCACAATTCTTTCTGGTGACTATGTAAATAAGAATGTAAATTTGGTGAGCTGGCTAAAAACACACAGGTTTGGGATCCTGCCAGGCCTGATTCAAATCCCAGCCACACCAAGACAGACTGTATGAACATAAGCGTGTTTTTCTCGTATGCCTGCTTCCTCAGATGTAAAACAAGCATCATCGACACTTTATAGGGTTGTAGCAAGGACTGTATAAATCTGTCCTTCCTTCCTTCCTTCCCTCCTTCCCTCCCTCCCTCTTCTACTTCTTCCTTCCCGCCTTCCTTCCTTCCCTCCCTCCCTCCCTCCTTCCTTCGTACCAGGATTGAGCTCGAGGCCTCAAGCCTGCTAGGCAAGTCTCTACCACTTGAGCCATGGCCCCAGTCTAGTTTTAGATTTTCTATATGTAGAGAGAGGACACACATATATATGAAGATAAATGGAATATACCAAGTGTGCCATCCATTGCCAGGCACTCTACATCTGTCTCTCTCTGTCTCTCTCTCTTTCTCTCTCTCTGTCTAGATTGTACTTACTATTCTCCATTTTCCAATGAAAAATCCAGGTATATAGGAGATGACTGATTTGAACAAGTATGTACTGCTCTATAAATGTTTGAACTGGAATTTCTGCCTGACTCTCAAGTCCACACAATGCCTGATTAAAGTGCATGATTAATGGAATCAATTTTTAGGAGCCTTTCATGCCAAATTGATTCAAAGTCAGAAAAAAAAAAAAAAACCAAAACCCTTGTATTTCTGCTTCAAAGAACTTGCTGAAACGAGAGTGAAACAAGCGGGCCCTGTTCCCCTGCTTCCTAGCGAGAAGCTACATCCTTGCCTTAGCACCTTTAAAGCTTTCTCGGTTTTCTTTAAGCTACTACATTAAAGGAAGGGTGGAGGAGGTTCTTTGTGTTCTAATTTCAGAAGAGATGGCAAAGGGACAGAGGGAAGTCATGGGCATGGGCAGGTACATTTTAGAGACAAAACTGAAATCTAAAAATCTCAAATATCTCTGCTCTAGCTAAGGTTTAGATCTGAGAGAACTGAGTAACTTGAACTGGGCCCAAGGCTGATTCAGATATTTTCTAATCTGTCCTTTCTACCTCTACTTTTTGCCACCACATCTGGCTCCTCCATCTCTCTTAGTGCACTGGTTCCAGTGGCACAGAGCCTCTGCCAGCTACAGGGTCAGCACGTGACTCATTCCTGCCCTCTGAAGCACCACAGTGCCCTAACTTTTGTGATAAATCACAGTTTCATCAACAGCCAAGATGCCCCACTACTAAAATGTGGTATTTATACACAATGGAATTTTATGCAGCCATGAAGAAGAATGAAATGTTATCATTCGCTGGTAAATGGATGGAATTGGAGAACATCATTCTGAGTGAGGTTAGCCTGGCCCAAAAGACCAAAAATCGTATGTTCTCCATCATATGTGGACATTAGATCAAGGGCAAACACAACAATGGGATTGGACTATGAGCACATGATAAAAGCGAGAGCACACAAGGAAGGGGTGAGGATAGGTAAGACACCTAAAAAATTAGCTAGCATTTGTTGCCCTTAATGCAGAGAAACTAAAGCAGATACCTTAAAAGCAACTGAGGCCAATAGGAAAAGGGGACCAGGAACTAGAGAGAAGGTTAGATCAAAAAGAATTAACCTAGAAGGTAACACCCACGCACAGGAAATCAATGTGAGTCAATGCCCTGTATAGCTATCCTTATCTCAACCAGCAAAAACCCTTGTTCCTTCCTATTATTGCTTATACTCTCTCTACAACAAAATTAGAAATAAGGGCAAAATAGTTTCTGCTGGGTATTGAGGGGGTGGGGGGGAGAGGGAGGGGGTGGAGTGGGTGGTAAGGGAGGGGTGGGCAGGGGGGAGAAATGAACCAAGCCTTGTATGCACATATGAATAATAAAAGAAAAAAAAAAGGGTGAATTTAGGGCCAAGAGTGGTGGTACATACCTATAATTCCAGCTACTTGGGAAGTGAATATCAGGAGAATCATGGTTTTAGGCCATCTGGGCAAAAAGTTAATGAGACCCCCATCTCAACAAATAAGCTGGGTAAGATGTCAAATGCTGTAATCCCAGCTACACGGGAGGCTGAGTCAGGAGAATCTCAGTTCAAGGCTGGCCCAGAGTAAAAACACAAGACTCCATCCAAAAATAACTAAAAGCAAAAAAGAGCTGGGGGAGGGGCTCAAGTGATAGAGCACCTGCCTAGCAAGGGTGAGGCTCTAAATTCAAATCCCAGTACTGTTAAAAACAAACAAACAAAAAGGATACTGGAGAATCTATGAAAACCCCAAATTAGGCTACTTTGCTATACCTCCCACTATTTCCAGCCCAGTGAGAGTCAACGATCTCCACCAGCAGTAGGGGCTGAAGTTATAAACAGTACAGATTCGCACACCCAGGGCTTATTCTCCTGAAAATGACAGTCAGCTTTTTCTCAGAGGCGACTTTTACACAGGGAGTGTTAAGCAGCAGCTTGCTCAGCAGCTAAAGAGAAGAGAAAGAGATGTCCCTAGGGATAAAACTGCAGGAGGTCACCAAAGGTCCTGGGGACCACGGGGCCTCTGCACTGCAGAAAAGACAGGCAAGGTGCCCCGGTGGGGGGGGAGGGCGAGAAGACAAAGAAAAAGTTTATGCAAATAATAGGTCCACTCTTGCCATCTCCTTCCCCCTTTCAGTTTCTTTGCTATTCTCTGGAGGTTTTTCCAGGGGTTTGCAAAACAGAAAGTTCACAGTAACAGCCTAGAGCTAGTCAATTTTCTCCAGAGGACTGGATCTAACTAAAAGGAGCCAGGGTGGCAGAAAAAGCAACAGTTAAATCTAGAATCCAGGGAGATTAAACGTGGGGGAAATCCAGCCCAAGCAGGCTCATGTCTGAGGTTTGAACTGTGTTTATGGCGTTTATCAACCCCGCCCAAATAGTTTCGGTTTCCCAGACCCACTTCCTCAAGGCTCAAACCTAATGTAAATCAACGTGAAGACTCTTCAGCTGGAGGTCATGGCCAGCCTGTCCCAGCCACTGCACAAGCAGAAGATTTTGTAGATTTCAGAACTGGCCTCATCTTCAGTGACTGCACCTCCTCGCTCAACCTCTAGCCAGGGCTCCATCTTCCTCCGCCTGCTCAATTCCAGGGCCTACAATTTCATACCAGCCAGGCTGCTTTGTGGACTGGGTTCACACATATGTGAAAGACCCACCAGGTGTCAAGTGCCAGGCTGGAAGATACAACGATGAGTCAGACAAGTTCCCTGGCTTCTCAAGTAGTGACAGGCTAGGAAGCCGAGAATTGGTAAACTCACCATGAGTACAAAGAGAGTAACATGCACTATCTTGTAGCCTCAGCGTCTAACACAGGGCCTCAAACAAATCAGGTCCAATAAAAGTAGGGAAAGAAATAATGAGAACCAGTTAGGACTGACTATTAATGACTAAAAGGGGGAAGGTAGAAAAAGGTCATAAAGATAGTTTTCTAGCCAGGCACGGTGGCTCATGCCTGTATTCCTAGCTATTCAAGAGGCAGAGATCAGGATTGTGGTTTGAGGGCAGGCAGGGCAAAGAGTTTGAGAGACCCCCTTCTCAATCAATAAAACCTGGGTGTGGTGACACCATTTTAGCTACACAGGAAGCATAAACAGGAAGATCACAGTTCAGGCTGGCTGAGCATACATGCAAAACCATAAAAGGGCTGGCTGAGTGGCTCAAGTGGTACAGCGCCTGCCTAGCAAGCACAAGGCCCTGAGTTCAAGCTCCACTACTGCTGGGGTTGGGGAGAGGGAAGATTTTTTTTTTCTTGTTTCTTTTTTTTAGAAGGGACTTTTCTTTTGTGGTATTGGGGTTTGAACTCAGGGCTTTGCACTTGTTAGACAGGTGTTCTACCACTTGAGCTGTGCTGCCAGCAAAAAAAGATAATTTCTAAGTCACTGGCAGAAGATGTGTTTTTGAACTTCCCATTCTTCTTTCCCATGGAGGAGGAGGAATGTCCTGGGTCTCCAGGCCAGGTCTGGAGCAGAGATACTCAAACTAAACAGCAAGCAAACAAGGCCACCAGCAACTCAGCCAGCATCCAGCCCTCTCCCCACCTCCCTCCCCCCTCTACTGCTTTGGTCTAAGCGCTTGTCCCTTGTCACCTGCATCATTGCAAATGCCTTCCTCCCACCTGGTCTCTAGCTTGGTGCAGACCCCCTCAGCCTACTATCAAAGCAGCAGCCAGAGCGATCCTTTTCATGCCTAAGTCACATCATGTCACTCTTCAGCTCAACCCCCTCCCCCCAGGGTCCTAACTCAGAGAAAAGGCCTAATTCCTTAAAATGGCTTCCGAGGCCCTAATAATCTGGTGTGGCCGGACCCTGCTGCAACATAAGCACCAGCCACACTACCCCTGAAAGTTCCCAATCATGCTTCCACCTCAGGCCATTGTCCCATTGTTCCTTCTGCCTGGCATATTCTTCACCAAGTATCCACCGGCTCTCTCCTTTACCTCTTCCGCCAGGCTTTCCCTGCCCAACCCATTTTAACCTGCAGTCATTTTCACCGACCCTTCTTACCTTCTTGATTTTTTTTCCATCTGTTCATTAATCATTGACATATAACATTGTATTTCTGTCTCCACAAGGAGACAAAAATATAAGCCCCATGAGGGCAAGGGTTTTTATTTATCCATTAATGTATCACCTGAAAGGTAGAACTGAAACAAACAAAAAAACAATTGTATGAATGATTAATACTGTTGGGAAAACAAAGCAGGGAAGTTATGAAAAGTGCTAGTGGGGAGCCAGGCATGGTAGCACCTGTAATCAATCCCAACACTCAGAAGGCAGAGCTGGATCATAAGTTCCAGACCAGCCTGAGCTGTATAACAAGACCATGTCTCAACAGCCACCGCACCCCGCAAAAAAAAAGTCCCAATGGGAAGACAGTTGCCATTTGATGTAGAGTGGTCAGAGAAATCTCCTACAGGAAATATTTAAGCAGATTTGAAGGCAATGAAGGGAGCAAGTCAAACACCCAGAACTTGCTACATCAACTGCACAGAACTCAGTGAAAAATGAAAATGTGGGGTCCTTGTTTACAAACTATTAAAAATTTCAAGGCATGACAGCAGAGTCTTGGGTGATTACACAGGTTACAGAGCCATGAAGCCAGTCCTGCACGTAGTTACTAAAGAAAGACTGTTCCAGACACATGAAACAAAGTGTGAAGACCCCAAAGAGGAACGAGGCTTTGGAAAGAAGCAAAGAGGTCATGCTTATTTAAGACAGAGATTCAGGGACTCCTTTTCTGGCTGGCATTGTGATGTCACAGGTTCAGGTCAGCTGGGACCCTTCGTTTTTGGTCTACTCCAGAGCATTCCTTTCCTGTTCAGGACTGTCAGAGGAACATCAGTCTGAGTTGCAGGAATCCCAGCTACACAGCAAGCACAGGAAGAGGATCCAGGCCAGGGGCTCAGGCAAAATGCAACATCTTATCTCAAAAGTAATCAAAGCAAAAAAGGTTGGGGGTGTGGTTCACATGGTAGAGTGCCTGCCTAGTAAGTGCAAGGCCCCTGGGTTCAAACCCTAGTACTGCCAAAAAAGAAAAAGAAGAAAAAACCTTTGTTCCACTTAAAATCTCTTTTACCATGAGTAAATCCAATTAATATCAGTAGATAGTAATTAAAGCAAGAAATATCACTTCACTGTTACGGTATCATCACTTTCACAGGTTCTAGATATCCAGTGAAATTTGGGAAGAAAGTCTCCAAAAATGTTATTGACTATAATTCTGGGCCCAAACCAGTGAGGACAGTCAGCAATGTCCACCAGCCTCGGGGGGTAAAGGCCAGAGAAACTGCTAAATATCCCACAATACACAAGACAGCCTCCTTCAACAAGTAATTATCCCACCCATAGCATCAATAGTACTGAGGTTGAAAAACCTGGTAATGGGCTATTTCTAATAATCAATTACAGCTCTCAATTCATGACACCTAAGCCTAACATATTCAAATCAAAAGTCTTTATAAAAGTAATGAAAAATCTGACTCACACTTTAATGGAAAAGGTCAATCAGGTTATCAGTAATAAGATCTATATTAGGCAAAACATGGATTACAAAGTATTTGATCAAAGGTGAGAACCCAGTGAGCAGAAGGTTAGAAGCAGACAACTGTGGGTCCCAGGAAGACAGGAAGAAACCATAACAAATAATGCTCTTCCTGATGGAAGCCTAGATGTAGGTACCCTAGCCTAGTAGGTAAGATGCACAGAAACCAGACAAGAAAAGACCTGCCATCTTTGGTAACCAGGATGCTGAGAGAGCTCTCGATATCAGATGTAAGATCTAGAGAAAAGAAAATGCTTTAGCACTGTGTTAATTCAAGGGTTCTCAATGAATAGTCACACTTGGGAAGTATCCTTGCCTCTTATCCACCTTCTCATCTGTAAAAAGATTAATTACACCTATCTCCTAGGTTTATTGTGAAAGCCAAATTAAATAAGATGAAGATGAAAGAAGACAAATGTGATGCCTGGCACACAGCAGGGACTCAGCAGAGTGGGTAATGATGTTCTCCAACTCTGCTTTTCTCTGGCTCTGACCCAAACCGGGCCTTGGCAATGCATGCAATGACTGTAGGTCTACACTCATATTTAGAAACCAGACTGCCCAAGAAGGTAGAAGGGGCTCTTGGTGGCACAATAATGTTTACATAACTGCACGGCAAGGCCGTTGCTCTGAAAATGTATAGCTGATACAAAGAGTGAATGATAAACATATACCTGCTTAAACATACAAAATAGAGTACGCTGTCCTTGGCCTTGGGGAAAGGCCCGGAAGAGTTTTCACGTTAAAAGAAAGATGCAGAGCTGATCATCTTTCTTCCATCCCTAGCTAAGATGCTTTAGGAAAGAATGTTGAAACCGATACAGAACTCAAATGCAAAAAGGCCATCACATAGCTCAGAGTTAATTATAAGCAATTTTAATGAACCAGTGTGTTCCCTCAGGTTTCCACGTTCTTCCCAGAGGTGTAATGCAATACGTCCAAGATGCACAAGCACTTATAAATTTGTAATAAACACAGCTCTCCAGCTCACCTAGACCACAGGTCTTGGCTGCTGTTTAACGACAGGTGTCACGTTTACGGTCGCCGGTGAGCCCAGGGGTGTAATTTCACTTCTAAATAAGGAAGCATAATTGATGGAACCAGAGCCATCCAGTGGGGACAACTGTATTACCTCTGACTCATCCCAAGTCTCGTTTACTCTGAGAACAGAATTCTCCTCTGTTCGGCTTTCAGTAAAAACATAGTAGGGCGATGGGAACCGCAAACCAGGTGAAAGTGACCCGGGTGGTGGCAATGCCCTGGTCCTCTTTTGGTCTTCCTCTCAGGCGACACATCTGGTCTGGGTCCCGGCAGGACACTGCGAACTCGATGCAGCTACCTGGGGAGGGCGCCCTGGTAGCCCGCCCCGCTGGCTGCAGGGCCAGCTTTGCGACCATGGCTTTGCCAGCAGCGTGCGCTGGGGTTGCGCGTGGGGACACATGGCTGCCAGCTCCACACCCGGGTCCTTGCGCCCCTCTTCTCCTGTCCCGCCCGGCCCCGCCCAGGGGCCACTACCGAGTCCTGCTCACCGTGACTCCGTACTTAAGCGCGATGCCCTGCAAAGTGTCACCGGCACGGACCCGGTGCTCCACCAGGCGCTCGAAGACGCCGGCGCCCAGCGGCGCCCGCACGCTGGCCGTGCTGCCGTACGAGCGGGTCTTGGTGCGGGCCAAGCTGAGCGACAGCTCGGCTTCCTCGGACTCGAAACCCGGGCGCGACTGCGGCGGCGGCGAGGGGGCCGCGGGCCTGGGCGCGCGGGGGCCGCCTTCCCGCAGGGACAGCGCGGGCAAGGAATCCGCCATGGGAACTGCCGAGGTCGCCGGGTCGCCGAGCGCGCCGAGGGGGCGGTGCCTCCTGCTCCGCAGCCGCCTCTTCCTCCTCACTGGGGCTGCGGCTGCCGCTGGCCGTGCCGCGGGGGCGGCGGGCGCGAGGCCGAGGCGGGGAGCTGCGGGCCGGGCATGGCGGGCGCCCCCCTCCCCCCTCGGCCTGCTCCACCGGCTCCCGCGCGTCGGGGAGGGGAAGAGCGAGCCAAGCTCCCGCAGCACCCTGGCCCGCTGCCTCGGCTCCACCCAGGGCGCGCCGCGATCTGGGCGTTGGGGGCTAAAGGAGACCTATTCCGAGGCATCCCGGCCCCAGGTGGACCCCAGAGCCACGCTGGCACAGTCTGAATAGAGAGAGGCCTCCTCCCTGGCCACAGCAAGAAAAAAAAAAAAAAAACTAAAAAACCTCAAGGTTTGCTCTGCCCTCTGTATTGATTCTCCAGCTGGGCCAGCTTGCTGCGACCTTCTAGCTCTGCCAATGTCAAGAAGTACATCCTCCCTCGCCCCACCCCCCAATATCCCCTTGACCTCAAACTCCAGGTCAGAAAACGCTAAGATCATCAAATACAGATTTTCCCCACCCTTCTCCACAGCCTGGAGGGTCCAATTCTGTCCATATGACAGCAGTTCTTTCAACATGCTTCTAAGGTTTGATGGATGTCCGCCAATGAAGTCCCCCAGTTGTTTGGGGCTCACTCTGCTTTGCACACCAGTGTCAGTTTTAGTCTTGGGGCCTTGAAGGCCTGGTTCCCGTGAGCCAGGTTCATCCTCCTGGCTCACGGGAAATTGCTGTCTGCATCCATCTTTTTTTTCTTATTGGTTTCCTCTTCGACACCCTGAAATCATAACCTCCCCAGGTATTATCATTACATCCACCAAAGACCTCTTACCTACATTCTTAATCTGTGCTCCCTCTCCTCAACCCTGTGGCTGCAGGTGTTGTACGGAATGGGCGCGCATTGCCTAGTGCCTAGTTTGGGAAGTTTGTTTCATTGGCTGAAGCTTTTTATATATTGCTCTGCTGGACAGAAGCAAAGGATACAGGGTTCAGGAGCACACTCACAGTCACAAAAGGGGTTGGGGGGTGGAGAAGAGCAAGCGGTCCCACATATCACCTTCCCACTCAAATATCATTCGGTGTCTCTTTGAGGACAAATAGCATCAATATAAACCCGCATTGACATTGGAGTTACTATTTTTATTTTCACTGATCAAGCACTGGCCATACTCCATCTATAATTCATCCTGCACGTTTGTCACGTTCCTGCTAAACAGAGTCACTTGAACTTTCTTCCTTAATCCCATCTTCACGCCTTGCATATGCTAGTCCCTCCACCTGGAACGCTATTCTCCCAGTACCCTCGGGGAGAATATTATTTTTTTAAAGCCAGGCTGTCACTATGTTGCCCCAGCTGCTCTGGAGCGCCTGGTTCACGTGCTCCTCACTCGCCAGGGTCTCAGCTCCCCAACTGCTGGGACTACAGATAGGATCCTCTGCACCTAGCGCATTTTTTAACCTTTAAAGTCTGTCTCAAGTGACACAGTCTTCATGAGATGTTTTTTCTGATTTGTCCCAATTGTCTCCCCCTACCCCCATCCGCTCAGCTGTTATTGTTTCTCCTTTGAACCCCAAGGGTGGTTGGTACCTCTTGTTTGGAACTCCCTGTGTTTCGTTTGAATCTTATCTTGTACTTATCTCCCCTACCAGATGCATACTCCCAGGAGGCGTAAGTAGGTCTTACTCATCTGTTTAGCTCCAGCAGTGCCCAACATGGTGGAATAAAAAATAGACCTGATCATAAATTGATCCCATAGACTGAATTAGATTGTCAACATAAGCCTGCCATGCATGAACTTTTGAGTGGTATCCAGTGTACCCATCCCAGGACCAAAGAGAGAGGCAGAATCCCAGGTCTCAATACACCAACAAGATCAAGTAACATTTCAAAATGAAGAGTTTACAGCATTTAGCATGTTTTCCACTAAGAAAAAGGGTTATTGAATGACCAGATGTTTCTATTTGAAGACTGAAGAAGGAGGTTACATGAAGTGTTACTAGGTGCTCAGTGGAGAGAGTTCTACTAATGGTATTAATATTGCAAGCTGTATTTCCTATATTTCCTTCTTTGGAGAGCCACAGTGCACATTGGAATCCTGAAAGCTCTAGAAGTCCAACAGTGAAGTAAACCTATTGGACTTTGACACTGCATTTCTCAAATTCATTTAACTATAGAAACTCTTTTCCCAACATTCCTATTATTTGAGAAACGTTGGATTCAAGAGGAAAGACAGGCCTGGATAAGGAACCAGAAAGGTAACTTTGAAAAGTTACAGATTACTAAAAGAATAGTAGGTACCTAAAGTAAGGGGCAGAAAATGAGCCAATAGAAAGTGAAGATAAGAAAGAGCAACTGAGGGGGAGAACACAGTCAAAGGTCATTAGACGCATGTGTGGAACTATTACAATGAAACCCCTTTGCACAATTCATATACACTAATTTAAGTAAAAATAAAACGAACCAGACATGGTGCGCACACCCAGCTACTCAGAAGGTGAAGGTATGAGGATCACAGTCTGAGGCCCCTCCCACCAAGCATGAGACCCTGCCTGAAAAACAAACTTAAGAGCAAAAGGACTTGGGCCATGGCTCAAGTGGTAGAGTGCTTGCACAGCAAGCAAAGCCCTGAGTTTAATCCCCAGTACTGCATGAATAAGTAGATAAATAAATAAATAAATGCCAGTAGGAGCAAGCTCTTTACCTGACAAAATGACTAAGGTGCCTACAACACTGAACACGGGAAATGTACAGAGATTTGAAAGCTACCCACTTGTGTTTTTTATGGGGGCTAATTTCTAAGCTGTCTCTAGTAACTTTCAATTTCTCCACCCGTAAAATATTCTGAGCCATATAACACCTCTAAAACAGTGGTACTCTGGAATATATTATGCATAATTCTCATATTTTTCTCCCTGATTCCTTTTTTGGCGATTATTACTAGAGTCTTCTAAATTCCAGAAATTAATCAACTTGAATTATTACTTCTTTAGTATTTTTTTAGTTGGGGTTCTCTGTGAGTTGTTTTCTCCTGGACATCTGGGCTTTTTCCAGCTCTCCGGGCGTTTTCCAGCCATCCAGGCTTACTGTGTTTTTTATGACTATTTCCTTCTATTTCAAAGAATAAAAATTATTACCTACAACTTGTAGCTCATATTTCATTTTTTGTTTGTTTTCCTCCTTGAAACATTTGGCTTCATACTTTGGCAGTATTAGGGTTTGAACTCAGGGTCTCATGCTTGTTACACAGGTGTTCTATCACTTGAGCCATTCTGAGGAAGTTCTCTTCTATCCTAAGTTTTCTGAGAATGTTTCTAATTTAAGAGTATCAGTCTTTCCTGCATTAATTTAGCTGATAGTGTGATTTTTCCATTTGTTCTATCAGTACAATGTATGGTATTTATTGATGTTATATTGAATAGCCTGTGTTTCTTGGATAAATTCCACTTGGTCATGGTGCATTATCCCTCTAATGTGCTGTTGAATTCAATTTGCTTGTATTTTGTTGAGGGTTTTTGTGTGTGATTTTGTTGTTGTTGCTTTGGGGTAGATGGTTTTGTGTGGGTTTTTTTCTTTGGTTGAGGACTTTTTAATCTAAATTCATAAGGAATAGTGATTTGGTTGTGGGATAAGAGCAATACTGCCCGCATACAATGAATTAGGAAGGATTCTCCCATGTTCTACTTTTGCAAGGGAGATGTAAGATGAATTGTTAAATTCTTCAAGTGTTTTGTAGAATTCACCAATGAATTCATCTGGTCCTGTACTTTTCTTTGTTGGTAGTTTTTTTTTTTTAATTTAATCTCTTTACTTGTTTTAAATCACTAAGATTTCTGTTTCTTCTTGATCCAGTTTAGATATTTTGTATGCCTTTAGGAATTTTTCATTTCATGTTATTCACCTAATTCACTGGCATACAGTTTGAACATTCTCTTATAATCCTTTTTATTTCTGGTCAGAGGCAATGCCCCACCTTCATTCCTGATTTTCTACCCCTCTATTTTTTTGTCAGTCTAGCTAAAGGTCTGTAAATTTTGCTGATTTTTCAAAGAACCAATGGGTTTTATTGCCTCTCTCTATTGTTTTTCTATTCTCTTTTATTTATTTCCACTTTAATCTTTATTCTCACTCCACCTTTTTAAATTTCTTTTTGGTGGTAGGGAGATTTGAACTCAGAGCTTCCTGCTTGCTAGGCAGGTGATCTACTGCTTGAGCCACACCTACTCCCCTCCCGTTAGCTGTGGATTTGATCTGCTTTTCTTTCTCTGGCTTATCAAGGTGTAAAGGAAGGTTATTGAGTTGAGTTCTTTCTTATACTATAGGCATTAGCAGCTATGAATTTTCCTCTGAGCAGTGCCTTTACTGCATCCCATAAACCTTTATACACCGTGTTCATAATTGCATATTCTAGAGCATAACAGCAATAATACAGGTGAAACATCAAAACTGAGTAAAACAGGAAGTTCCATGATGATGAAATATACATAACTTCATTTTGTATTAATAGGCTATTTTTGGAATGGTTTTAGGTATGTTTTCCTGTTTCTGTTACTAACATCTGGCGTCAGTGGGGCACATTTGTTACACTTGATGAACTGATATCAGTATGCTATTTAACTAAGGCGCCTAGTTTATGTTAGGGTTCAGTCTTTGCATTTTATAATCCTGTGGATTTGGACAAATGAATACACCATTTCAGGGTCATGCAAAGTGGTTTCACTGCTCTAAAAATCCCTTGTGTTCCTCCTGTTCATCTCTCCCTTCTTCCTTTCCCTGAACACCCAGCAACCCTGATCCTCTTTACTGTCTCTATAGTTTTGCCCTTCCCAGAACGTTATGTAGGATACTGTATATCCTACAGTATATACAACCTTTCAGACTGGCTTAATCCACCTAACAATATGAATTTAAGATTCTTCTATATCTTTTTGTGACTTGT